AGGGACTCAATCACAGTTTGAATCCCTGACCAATAAAATAAGGGACTCAATCACAGTTTGAATCCCTGACCTGGCAGCTTAAACCCATGCTGGGTGCATGAGTGTGCATATCCAAAATCCTAAAAGGAGAATGGAAGAGAAGGGACTGTGGTGTGGACATCCCCCCAGGGGTTGATTTCTCACTTTCTGTCTCTCTGTCTGTCTCTCTTTCTGATGAGCACACATGCCCAATAGCAAAAATCTCTCTAAAAAAATTAATTAAATAAAATCAAATAAACAAACAAAATACGTATACTTGGGAGGTAGAGTAGATCTGTCTATTAACTGATGAGCTTAGATTCATTTGTCAGGCTGGCTAATGTATCACCCAGTAGGGGCTTAGAGAAAATGGACAAAGACAAGAGAATTTAGAGGATCACAGAAGTTCTCAAGAGTGGAGCAGGCCAGGGTCCCATCACAAGAAATAACTTGAGGAGCAGCATGAAGGTTTTTCCACCATTGCTTTCCGGAGGAGCCAGTAGGTGTCAACAGGAACTTAGGAGAAAGCCCCCTCCTTTCCTGATGATTTCTTAATCCTTCTCAACTGCATATTAACTTACCAAATTCAAACCCATCCTACATTCAACACCCTCTATGTATTAGACTAACTTTACCTGCCCTGACTGTCTCCCTCTTGACTTCAGCGATGTTAGTCTGCACTTGGCTGTCTGAGTCATGCCCCTCTGCTTTAGTTTGATGATATTTCCTCTATTTTCAATGACTTTCTCACTCCCACATGTAATCTTCTTAGAACCCTTCTGTTACCAGTACCCAAAAGATTTGTGTTATCTGCAAACCTTTCCATCCTAGCACTGCCCAACCAAAATAGTCCACTTAAATCCAGACACATGGATTCAATCTGTTCCAGGCAAGCTGTTGTTTTGCTTACCTCACTATAACCAAATGTCGCACGTCTCCTAAACTTCCAGGGCTATCCCTACCATTCATATCAAAATAAAAATAATCTATTCCTTGGCCTATGGAATTGCACAAATTCCATATCTATTCCTAGTATTTTAGAAATGCCCTTAGAATACATGCACGTGCCAGAAATCTCCCCCTGGGTGCTGTCACTTCTCACTCTGGGTCCCATATTGCCTCTTGCTCCTCGTGACCATTTCTCCATGATGTGGCAGCTTTCTGTTTTTTTGTTTTGTTTTGTTTTTGTTTTTGTTTTCACCTCAAAGTTATTACAAGTTTCTTCCTTTATTCCCAAAGACACAGCTAAAAAATGCTATAGCTTTTAGTAAAAACGGTTCAAAGATTTTGAACCTTCACTTTTTGGTAGGGAATCTGCTAGATACCACACCCCCTTCCTCATTAAGTTTTTCCTATAAGGCAGCACTGTTACCTTTGTTTGTGATTAGTCGATGGAGATTGTAAGCGGGGGTTAATCTGCTGAGAGCCCGCAGCAAATAAGTAGTAGAGTTGTTATTTATGTTGTATTCTCATCGTCACTCTGTTTGAAATATTACCCAATTTCCCCAGTGATTTTTCTTTTACTGATAGATTTTTTAGGATAGTGCTTAATTTCCAATCATTGGAAATTAAATGGTTTCCCTAGTCAGTTTATTATTTTCTAATTTAGTTGCATTGTTGTCAGAGATCATACTGAGTTGAATTCAGTGCTTTAAAGTTTGCTGAGACATATTGTGGCCCAGCATGTGATCAGACTTGGTGAATGTACCATGTGCAGCCCCAAATAATTTTTATTCTGCAGTTCTTAGGTATAAGTTCTCTAAATATCTAGTAAATCAGAATAATTAATAATGTTGTTTAGATCATCTATAATGTCATGAGATTTTTTTGTCTAGTTTTTTTTATCAATTGGGTGGGTTAATATTCAAGAATAATTGTGAAATTGCCTATATCTCCCTTTAATTCTGCCATATGCTATTTCACATATTTTGAAGCTCTGTTTTTAGGTACATATACATTTTGAGTTATTACATCTTCATGATGAATTAGTCTTTTTTTTTTTTTTTAGAAGGAGATTTTTGCTATAGGGCACATGTGCTTGCTGGAAAGGCAGAGAGAGACAGAAAGCGAGAAATCACCCCCTGGGAGGGATAGACACACCCTTCTCCTCCAGTCTCCTCTGAGGATTTTGGGCACACATGTACATGTGCCTGGCATGAGTTTCAAGCCACCAAGTCTGGGACTTGAACCGTAGTCAGCTATGTGAGAGTCCAGTGACATAACCATTATGCCATCTGCTGGTCCCAAATTAGTCTTTAAAAAAATTTTTTTTCTCATATTGCCAGAGAGCATGTGCATTCACAGGGAGTTGGGGGGAAGAGAGAGAGAAAAAGTACTCCACCGTGGGGGGATGGTCACTCCACAATCCCTTCTTCTCTGTCTTTCCCTCTGTTTGGGATTTGGGGTCTGCACACACATGTGTCTGGCGTGTTTCTCAAGCGTTGGGGTCTAGGACTTGAACCACAGAGTCAGCCATGTGGGAACCAGCTTCCTTAACCACCATGCAATAGCCTGGCCCCAAATTATTCATTTTATCATTATACAATTGTCTCTTTATCACTGGACAGTTTCTTTTCTTGAAGATTTTTATCTGGCTTGAGAAATCCACACCAGCATTCCTATGTTTATTATTTCCATGTAAATATTATTCTATCCATTACTTTTCTACTTATTTGTGTCTTTAAAATGAGCGTCTTGTAAACAACATATATTTAGATCTTGTTCGTATTATCCATTCTGGTCATTTTCTCTCTAGTTTTGAATTCCTTCATACTTCTAGCCCTGTCTCAAGAGCCCCCTAGGTTTCACTATTATCCAATATCAGAAGAATTATACACACACACACACACACACACACAGTATAATATTACAAATACTTGTTTTATCAGATGGTTTGATGTCTTTTTTTTTTTTTACCACTACTGAGCACATGTGCTCACTAAAGTTAGACAAAAAGAAAGAAATCGCCCCCCAGAGGGGACGGTCACACCACAATCCCTTTTTGTCCACTCTTCTCACAGCATTTTGGACATATATGCACACAAGCTCAGTGTTTTTCGGGCCACCAGATCCAGGGCTCGAACTGTGGAGTCAGCTATATGAAATCCAACACCTTAATCACCATGCCACCTGCTGGCTGTTTCACACCTTTTAAATAATTGGTGTCATCCCCCCTTGGTGGGGGGGTGAGTTCTCACTTTTCCTCTCACTTTCTCTGTCTCTCTCCAGCAAACGCATGTGCCCTGTGACAAAAACCTAGGGAAAAAAGTAAAAATAAATCATTGTTGTTTTATGAACATTTTCATTTTTTTTTCTATATTCATATAGTTTAACCTTTTTCTTCATAGCCTGTAGATTTTGTGTCATGCTGAGGAGGGCGTTTTCTACCTTAAAATGAAAAGAAAACAAAAACAAAAACCCCTACCTTAGTCTAGTCTTATGTAAATTTTTGTATGTGTGTATATTATGTAGGTATTTAATTCATCGGAAGTTATTTTAGTGAATATGTAGAATAGAAAACCATTCAGACTGATATTATCATCATAAGTTCTTGCTCACTGATTCCTAAGTGCCACATTTTTCCTAAACTATACACATACATGCACATATATTTACACACAAACATGCACATATATTTACACACATACATGCATGGCTTTCCACCCTTTATTTTGTTCCACTGAATTTATGTTTATATATTTAGCAAATTTACAGATAACATATATTTATTTATGTGTATCTGTATATATACAGTATACCACACAGCAATGAGTCTCACTCATCATTTTATTCCACTGAATTTTTTTTTCTATTCCTGATCCAGTTCTATGCATGTTTAATTTCTGTCCTTGTTTATATATAAAGGCAAGTCCTACTTTCATGGTTTTTTTATTGTTAAACAAAATGCTTGAATATTCTTTTATAATTACTCCCTCAGTCAAATTCTGGAATTATTTTATTAATTTCCTAAAAGAAAAAAAAAAACTCATAGAGATAGTAACTAAAATTTTACTAAACTGACATCCATCTTTCCATATAAAAATGTAGGGAGAGTTGCTCTTCTTTTAAATCCTCTGGCAAAATCTTATAGTGCTTATCGTATGGATCTCACTAAAGGGAATCAATATACCTCTTAAAATATAATAGTTTTCACTGCTACTAAAAATAAAAACATCTTTCCAAAATATTTTCTACATTTTACATGGCATCCTGAGTGTGGGTATTTAATTAAGGAAAGTCTTCATAACAATTATAATTCACTTTTTCATGAGAGTAAACTAAACCCTTCAAATGATATTTAACTGTTCTATAATTACTGTATGGCTGAATCAGAAAACGTGGTCATTTCTGCTGCATAATCATTACTTGGCAACACATCCACTGAGAGGGATCATTTGATATCATTAATCTTTTTAAAATTATTTTATTTAACTTTATTTATGTTTGATCAAAAAGGGACAGAGTGAGAGAGAGAGGGAGAGAGTGAGAAAGCAAGCCGCCAGGTCCAGGATTTGAACCACAGTCGGAGATGTGGGAGTCCAGCGCCCTTAACCACCACACCACCTGCCAGCCCCCTGATATCATTAATCTTTGTAGAATTGTCTTCAATACTGGATGCTGAAGTAAATTGTCAAAAAATGTGCACCAAGTTTAATGTAAATCTTTAGATCTATTTTTGAAGACTAATCTACTTTATGTCATTAAAAACTATTGTTTTTTAAAGAATTATTTTACTTAACTTTATTTATTTTAATGTGATCAGAGAGAGACAAAGTGAGTGACTGAGAGAGAGATGGAGAGTGAGAAATCAAGCCACCAGGTCCGGGACTTGAAACGCAGTTGGCCATGTGGGAGTCTAGTGCCTTTAACCACCATGCCACCTGCCGGCCCCAAAAAATGATTATTTATTTTTAAAGCTTCTCAATGTAGTGTTTCTAAATGAAAACCACAATTAAAACAATGTCTTTTTTTTTTTTTTCTAGCACGCTCTTGCCTGTGACTGTGTGTTTGCCAACATGGCACCCAAAAAGAAGACTGTCAAAAAGAACAAAGGCGACATCAATGAGATGACCATAATTGTAGAAGACAGCCCTCTAACCAAACTGAATGCTTTGAATGGGCTCCTAGAGGGAGGCAATGGTCTTAGCTGCATTTCTTCTGAATTAACAGATACTTCTTATGGGCCCAATCTCTTGGAAGGTTTAAGTAAAATGCGGCAGGAGAGCTTCCTCTGTGACTTAGTCATTGGTACCAAAACCAAATCCTTTGATGTTCATAAGTCAGTGATGGCTTCATGCAGTGAGTACTTCTACAACATACTAAAAAAAGACCCATCGACTCAAAGGGTGGATCTCAATGATATTTCACCACTAGGCTTGGCCACGGTCATTGCCTATGCCTACACGGGAAAGCTGACTCTCTCCTTGTACACGATAGGAAGCATTATTTCTGCTGCTGTTTATCTTCAGATCCATACTCTTGTCAAGATGTGCAGTGATTTTCTGATCCGGGAGATGAGTGTTGAGAATTGCATGTATGTTGTTAATATTGCTGAAACATACTCCCTGAAAAATGCTAAAGCAGCAGCCCAGAAATTTATCCGGGATAATTTCCTCGAATTTGCAGAATCAGATCAGTTTATGAAACTTACGTTTGAACAAATTAATGAACTTCTTATAGATGATGACTTACAGTTGCCTTCTGAGATAGTAGCATTCCAGATTGCAATGAAATGGTTAGAATTTGACCAAAAGAGAGTAAAATATGCTGCAGATCTTTTGAGCAATATTCGTTTTGGTACCATCTCTGCACAAGACCTGGTGAATTATGTTCAATCTGTGCCAAGAATGATGCAAGATGCCGATTGTCACAAACTCCTTGTAGACGCTATGAACTACCACTTACTTCCATACCACCAAAACACATTACAGTCTAGGCGAACGAGAATCCGAGGAGGCTGCCGGGTCCTAGTCACTGTTGGGGGACGCCCAGGCCTTACTGAGAAGTCCCTTAGTAGAGACATCTTGTATAGAGACCCTGAAAATGGATGGAGCAAGCTGACAGAAATGCCAGCCAAGAGTTTTAATCAGTGCGTGGCTGTGATGGATGGATTTCTTTATGTGGCTGGTGGTGAAGACCAGAATGATGCAAGAAATCAAGCCAAGCATGCAGTCAGCAATTTCTGCAGGTACTTGATTTTTATTAAGAAATGAAGTGGTTCAATATTAAGGGGAAATTACCCTGACATAGAAGTAAATTAATCATGCCTATTAATTCACTGACTCAGTAAATCAGTAATGATAAAGTCACTTTATAGATAGATAGCATTTTATATAAAGTGCATTCACACATATTATGCACCCGAGATTTCTGAGACCAGCCTGGGAGGTGGGCAGATACAATTGTTCTGATTTTACACATGTGGTACTTGATACCCAGAGAAATTATACAACTAGGAAGTGGCAATTCACTTTTTCTCATTTCTAGTTGGGTATTTTTTACAAAACTGACTTTAAAGGAAATTGGATATAAATTCAGCTTCTAATACTAAGCTGTAAGAAAGAATGAAATAATACAAAGTTTATTTTAAGTGATTGCTACTGACAACTGTCAGACTCATAATTGGCAAATAGAATAAGATAATTTAAACTGTGGCAACTAACTTTTAAAAAAATATTTGGAGACTAAACGAAATAGAAAATGTCAATATTTTTGATGCATGTGGAAAGAATGAAAACATAATAAACCCTTCAGAAAATGGAATTCTAGCACTGTATTATTTTTGCACATTTATACTAAAAAATTAAACTTCTCTCTATATAAAAATGTACAAAAAGTCATGATTATATCATAGTAGCACAAAGTCAAACAACTAATGAGCAAGATATGAAAATGTGTACAGTATGTTATGAAAAATCTTTATTATTTCATCATATGTGTGCATCACTTAAAAGAATCTGAACAACTAATTACTTTTAATCTCTAATTTTACAACTATAATTATGTTTTGAATTGAGAGTTAAATGGGACAAAGATGAACAGCAAATGGGAGTTTTGTGCTTATAGTATTTCTGAACTAGGTAAACAGGAAAACATCAGTGCACTAAGACTGCTCGGTTTTCTCCTGCTGATAACTCTCCACTAGTATGCAAGTTGTTGTTCTTGCAATGTTAATTTTAGTGCTTATGAAATCATGTATATATAATTATATATATATATTTATATATGTATATAAATCCTCAAACTAGAAAATCATACCTACTGGGGACCAGCAGGTGGTGTGGTGGTTAAGGCGCTGGACACTCCCACATGGCTAACCATGGTTCAAGTCCCAGACCTGGTGGCTTGCTTTCTCATTTCCCTTCTCTCTTTCTCTCTGTGAGTCTATCTGCTCAAATTAAGATAAATAAATAAATGAATTAAATAATTATTTTTAAAAAATCATACCTACTGATAGTTGCTAGAAAATAGAAAGCTATCTAGAAAATGATGCCTACTGAGAGTTGCCAGAAAATAGAAAAGTATCAAAAGTTAAGCCTTTGTTGTTGAGTTTATACAAGAATTTCATGGGTCTCATTCTATCAGGTGAGTGAAGATTTGGTGGAGGGACTTAGCTTTACTGCTGTAATGCCAAGACAAGTGTATAAAGTGTGTGTGAGAAATGGAGAAATCCAATCAGCCAAATCCAATCTAAATTGCCGTGAGCTAGGAGGTGTCTGAGGTTGGCCAAATGACTGTAGCCACAAAAACCCAGTTCCACCCTCCCCGCCACACACACACACGCACACACACGCACTGCACCCTCCCCGCCACACACAGACACGCACACACACGCACACACACACACACACCTACACCCACGTCTCCTAAATCCCACTGGATGATGGATATTTGCACATGGTGGGGTACTGAAAGGTTGGTCTCTCTGGGCTCTTCTTCAAGTGGCCGATAAATGGAGGTGCGGTGGAATTCACCAGCGCCCGCCTTAACTTTTCCAAGCGTCCCACACTTCTACTGCCTAAGAGAGAAACATGAGCCTCCATGTAAGGAGCTAGACTAGGTCCTCCCTCGCCTCCTTGCAGGGGTAGTGCCAGTATTCCCACACAATGGCTTGCAAAGTAACTTAGGTTCCCCCAGCTGCTTCAGTCAAAGCTGTCACAAGTCCTCTGCCATTTCCAGATACGATCCCCGCTTCAATACCTGGATACACCTCGCCAGCATGAACCAGAAGCGCACGCACTTCAGCCTGAGCGTGTTCAATGGGCTCCTCTACGCTCTGGGTGGCCGCAATGCAGAAGGCAGCCTGGCCTCGCTGGAGTGCTACGTGCCCTCCACCAACCAGTGGCAGCCGAAGACGCCCCTGGAGGTAGCGCGCTGCTGCCACGCCAGCGCCGTCGCCGACGGCCGAGTGCTGGTGACCGGCGGCTACATCGGCAACGCGTACTCCCGCTCCGTGTGCGCGTATAACCCGGCCAGCGACTCGTGGCAGGAGCTGCCGAGCCTGAGTACGCCCCGGGGTTGGCACTGCGCGGTCACGCTGACCGACAGGGTGTACGTGATGGGGGGCAGCCAGGTGGGGCCGCGCGGGGAGCGCGTGGACGTGCTGACGGTGGAGTGCTACAGCCCGGCCACCGGCCAGTGGAGCTACGCCGCGCCGTTGCAGGTGGGCGTGAGCACGGCCGGCGTCTCAGTGCTGCACGGCCGCGCCTACCTGGTGGGAGGCTGGAACGAGGGCGAGAAGAAGTACAAAAAGTGTATCCAGTGCTTCAGCCCGGAGCTCAACGAGTGGACGGAGGACGACGAGCTGCCGGAGGCCACCGTGGGCGTGTCCTGCTGCACTCTCTCCATGCCCAACAACGTGACTCGGGAATCCCGGGCGAGCTCGGTGTCCTCCGTGCCTGTCAGTATCTGAACCCAGGTAGTCGCGGGGATGCAGGAAAAACACTTATTTATTCATAGAACCATGTGGTTAATCTTTGAGTTAGTGAAAAGGAAAATATGTAACATTTACTACAGTGGTTGTATCTGAAAATATATCGATGACAAATGATTTTAAATTCCTGGTATGGCATAATCTACCTCTGTCTTTTTTAGCCAGCAAAGGAAAGCAATTTATTTCAGTGGCCACTGGGTGGCAGACGGAGTTTGCTGTAGGCACTCCCAACAGGGCACGTTTCCTAAACCTATTGCAGTTTTGCCCACATTTGAGATTTTTCTTCTGCACTTCAGTACTTATAAGGCTTATGTGAGAAAGTAATCCCACAGATAAAAAAGTTTATTTTCTCTCATTTTCTTCTTTAGGAAGTTGAAAATGGTTTTATTTTTCAATGAAAATCATCTATTTCCATAAAGACTTAACTCTATTCAACACAATTCCTTTTCCTTTATGTGAATGAGTAAAGCATCTTGAAAGGCATCTCGTAGCAAAGGTGTAAAGTTTAGGACAAAGTCCGGATGGGAAGGAACAGGGATTCTGTGGATACCATTGGGTTGTGGTGATTTCTCCCTCTAGGCCTCAGACCTCAGTGTATTTTCTATCATAAAATCCTCATCTGGAAGAAGAAACTATTATCAGTCATTTAACTTATGATGTAAGTTTAAATCACTTTTTTTGTTTCTCCGAGAAGTATTTGCACTTTAACTCTTTTCCTGTATTAAAGGAATTTCAAGTATCCTGAGTGCCTTACCACCACCTTAAGCACAAACCAATTGCTACATCAAGGTTAGAGGCGAACTTGTCTCTAAGGTAAACCCTAGGACCATCACTAAGTAAAACTATGTCTTCAAGGACTGTTAATGAATGCTTAGATAGCCTGAGGGTTATACAACAATAACAATAGTTTGATTTCCCTCGACTTTTTTTTGTAAGAAGCATTTTTGCTATATGGTGCGTGTGCATACTGGAGAGACAGAAAGCAAGAAATCAACCCCTGGCAGGGGGATGGGGAGGAATGGCCACACTGTTATCCCTTCTCCTCCATCATCTTCTCAGGATTTTGGGCATGCCCAGTGTGAGGGGTTTTTTAAATTTTTTTTAAAGAATTATTCATTTATTTGATTATATTTGTTATTATTTTTAAAATTTGACCAGAGAGAGAGAAGGGAAACCAAGAAAGCAAGGTGCCAGGCTTGGGACTTGAACCACAGTCAACCATGTGCAAATCCAGCACCTTTAACCACCACGCCACCTGCTGGTTAAGCCACCAGGTCTAGGACTTGAACCGTAGTTGACTACATGGAAGTCTAGTGACATAACCATTATGCCATCTGCTGGTCCTTCCCTGACTCCCATATAACAAGAATGAAGAGAACATTTGCAAGTCTTGGGTTTGGCGATAACTGATGAATGGGTTTGCCTGATGGTCAATGCCACTATCTCCCATTTTGTAGCAATTCTCCTAATTTCTTAAAAATCTTAACATATTCTTTTCACATAAACATTAAAACAATATGTGCCCTTTCTGCCCTTTATCAATTTCACCTGCTTCAAATTAGCTTTGCAAATCAAAGTGCATCCACATGATATCATTTTTCTTACATGTTTTGCCAAGTTTTGGGACAAGGGAATGATTGTAGTAAATGATACGTATTTTCCTTTCTTAATAATTTATCACTTTATTCTTTGATAGTCTGTTTCAGAGAGAAAGTGGCCTGTCAATTGTGGGTTATGTGCAATTGAATTCTGAAAAATAAAACAAACTATGTCAAGGGTTAAACATAAGATATATAGAAATATACCTTGGTTTTCATTAATCCTATCCTCTCTCACCTTGTGTAGACAATCACTAGAGTTCTGATATTCATATCTGAAATATTTTATTTGAACTGTGAAAAATGGTTCGTACAGTAGGCTTTGTGGAACAATTTTATATCATTGACCCGAGTATGGGAACACTTGGGTAAAGGTTATAAACACTGTAAGTTAAAAGTAAGACATTATTAACGTAAAAACACTGGGCTGTGTCTTCATCCCACATAGAGAATGAGGAGTTTCACCAAGGACAGAGCAGGTATGTACAAAGATAGCTGCTCCTTTGGGTCCTTGTGTGTCCAGGCTGGAAAACAAAGCTCTGGGGTAAACCAGTTTATGGAGCAGTTTAAATCACCAAGTTTCTAAATTACCAATGACACAACCTATATATAGCCTTAGTCCTTGCAGCAACATTGGTAAAGTAAACTTTTCATTTTTTAAAAAAGAATTGCTTCTTTAATTTTATTTATTATTATTATTATTATTATTATTATTATTAATTTGCTGTATGGCACATGTGCTCACCAGAGAGACAGAGAGAGGGAAAGTGTGAAAGCAAGCTGCCAGGCCTAGGACTTGAACCATGGTCAGTCATGTGGGAGTCCAGCACCTTAACCACCACACCACTTGTTGGCCCAAAGTTTTCATTTTTAATCAATTATTTGGGCTACCACTTGGTGACGCCTGTGTGAGGGTGACCATAACATTTTTTTACCTCTGTATACATGAGTGTATGCTTAAACACACATACACACACTCATATAACTGAGAAGCCTATAGAATAGTGTCAAGTTTGAGAGGAAAAAAAAAGTGCTTTATTATGGATTATAGGTCCTAAGTGGGCAAATAGATCTGATTCCTTGATGCACAATCATAGATGTGTCCCCACTGAGATCTTAGATGTGTGAAGAGGAGGACCTATGACTCAAAATAAGGATCAATCAATTGTAATATTTTATGATGGAAAATGAGAAAGAGATACTGAAACTAGAGGAGTTTTCATCTAGCAAAGCTTGATTACATTGGTAGTGCAAAAACCTGACAGTGGTTTTCTAGAGATAAACCTAGAGACCTGTGAGACCTCAACAAATCATTTCAAACTACCATTTCACTTATTTTCTGCCTTGTTCATCTGAAGATTCAGAAAATACACATACCTGAGCTTACCAGGGTCCTGAGTTCATTGCTGCCCTCACTTCTGCTTTAGTAGTTAGGTCAATAAACAAGCCTAAACCAGCTGTGGCCTGGTGGTTAAGGAAGCTGGATTCCATATGACTGACCACGTGGTTCAAGACCTAGACCCAGTGGTTTGAGATACACAGTGAGCATGTGTGTGTGCACGCCCAAAGTCCCTACAGGAAGGAGTGATGGAGAAGGGATTGCTGCGTGGCCGTGCCTCACAGTGGGTGCTTTCTCCCTCTGCCTCTTTCTCTGTCTCTCTCTGGTGAGCACACATGCCCTCTGGCAAATTAAAAAATTAAATTCAATACATAAAGGCCAATATGAATTTGAAATGCTTGAACTTCGGATATAACTCATTATTCGAAGGGAGTATGGAACATAAAGTTTGGTGAAGCTTTTATATCCTGGAACATCTTGTATTACCAAATGAAAGACACAGAATTATGCAAACTCAAAATAATTGTGTCATCTTTCATATGTAAGTGAAGCATATTCTTTAACACATCTGTTGAAGCAGTTGTTCCTAGAAAATGCGACAGTTTCTTCATGTTTCCCATTGGGACAACTTCCTTCATTTTTAGTATTGTTTTAAGCCTATATTCAATTGTACTCCCAAGTCTTGAGATCCAGCTAGGTATGCCCTTTTATTTTTCTGAAAGGAAAGGACTTGTTATTTTCATAAGACCTAAATCCTACGATTAAATAAAAGCATCAGTTCAGTGCATCAGAGAAATCACATGTTATGCAGCAGCTGAAATAATAAACAAACCTCAAGCTCTCTTTTCTTTGAATGGGCCAGAGACCTGATTAAAAAAAAAAAAAAAGTCTCCAGGAAGCCAGACATTAATGTAATTTGTCCATTTTCAGTTAGGCCCTTGAGGCCAAGTTGTCACCCCTGAAGCACTAGTTGCTCTCAGGGCACTGAATGCGTTTCATTTTTACTCCCTATGTTGTAAGAATGGCTATGAACAGGAGGACCGTGCTGGTACAGCAAGATTAGACGGGACTGAGTGTAATGAGTGAGGCGATACCATAGAGGTTGTACAAATGTGAGTACTGAAAGATGGTACAGCTTAATGTAATTCCAAGCACGATTAGACGGGACTGAGTGTAATGAGTGAGGCGATACCATAGAGGTTGTACAAATGTGAGTACTGAAAGATTTTACGATTTAAGATCAGCAATTATAGTAAGTGTATTTTACAAACGCACGTGTAGATAGAGGTTTACCTGGAAGTATGTAAGTGTTAAGGGTCAGTTTTTCTTTTCTGGCCAAGTGTCTTCAGAATTCATCCAAGTTACTAGATAAAAGAAACTAAAATCACTTCATGTAATGAATTTTTCCCCTTAGTGTCAACCAAATAAATTTGTGTGATTTTTGAATTACACAAATACATGAGTCACTGATGAATGCATTCTCTAGCCCAAGGCAGCATTAAAAGGAATTACTTTTCAGTCTTTCTTTTCATACCAACAAAAACTGTAGCAAAATTTCCCAAACACTCCATCATGAGTAATTATGAGAAATAAAGACTAAAAATCTCAAAAACTCTACCTTCCAGCACATTCAGAAGGTAGAGATCATTTCGCTTTCTATCTGAAGGAATTTGAAATAAAGTACTTGTCTTGAATATTCCTTTAAACATTTTTATTTATTCAAAAAGTTGGTCAAAAAAGTCTTTGTTTGCTTAAAACATTCTGGTATTCTATAAGGAACAACAAACTAAAATGTCTGTAGTGTTTTTATAACCTCATCACGATCAATAAAGCTACATTCAGTAAAAACTCAGTCATCACGTGTGGGTAGTTTGGCTGCATCCTTTCGGTAATGACTGCACTTTACCCCCTCTATGTTTGTTTTTCATCATGATTCACCTAAACAAAACAACAGCAGAAAGAAAGGACAAATAATTGAACAGGTGTTTTAGGAGCTTGAAGATTCATGAAAGAGAAAGGTATAGAACATCAGTAGTGACTTGTTTTGTAATTCGGACGAAAGCCCAACTCCAGTCTAGCTTAGCACCTCCTGTTCAGAAGTCATAGATCAACTGTGGTTTCCAGTCTTGTCCCACCCCGACTGCAGCCCAGCTGACGAGTTCAGGTGAATCCACATTTGCAATGAGACGACGTTTTAGGAAATCATATTGCCATGCAGACGAACCCTGACAGTCTTTCTCTTCCCCCTCACCTTTACATGTAAGCAGATATTAATACAATATAATCAACATAAGACGCTCAACCTTTGTTCTAATCCGGTATTGAGGCCATTTAGTCCTATCTAGAAAATCTTAAAATGCTAACAACACTTTTTTTAAAACTTCTCCAACCCTGCAGCTGTGTTAAGAGACTAGACTAGTGCCAACCAGAATGCACGAGTGCCACGTTCCCAATTTGGAGCATATAAAACCAGGTGCTCATAGTTTCCTTGAGTTTTCTTTGAACTCCCACATAACTTCAAGCTTCCTACAGGCTTGCACTCCCTGGTACATTCACATACCAGCCCATCTATCCAGTTAGTGACATGCAAAATTATTTAATTATATTAATTACATCTAAAGTACTCTAAGATATATTAAAGAAAGAACCATTTTGCACATACTGTGTTTGGCAAGCGTGGTAGAAAGGCTAGAGACTGAAGTATAATCAAACCCACTTCTAGGCTTTCCTCTCGCCAGAGTGGCATGGAAGTGCATTAGAAGGTCCTTTGTAGGAAAGGAACAGCATTTGAAGGAGAGACAACATCCAACTCTTGGTTCTTAGAAACACCCTACTCAGCCCTTTCTTTTCCTTTCTAGCCACATTCACAGGTTGGTTTATGAGCCGAGGTGTAAGCCACATTAGTGATTATGCCTACACCAATCTCCCTTCCCCACCTCACCCCATTTCAGACCAGACAATCTGCTTAGAAAATAGTAAAAAATATAAGGAATACTTCCCAAACCTTTTGGTGAATACAGTAGCATCTGATTAACCTAAAGATTT